GGCGGGGCTCCACCCCTGAGCCACGCCCCCAGCCCTCACTGGGGGATTCTAGGCGGGGCTCCACCCCTGAGCCACGCCCCCAGCCCTCACTGGGGATTCTGGGCCGGGGCTCCACCCTGAGCCACACCCCCAGCCCCTCACTGGGGGATCCTAGGCTCCACCCCTGAGCCACGCCCCCAGCCCCTCACTGGGGGATTCTAGGCGGGGCTCCACCCCTGAGCCACGCCCCCAGCCCCTCACTGGGGCATCCTAGGCGGGGCTGCACCCCGGAGACCTACCTCTGGCCTGGTGGGCTTCCCTTAACCATACGTGAGAGCATGTGTGTGTCTGAAGTGGTGCACAGGGGTGGGCATGTCCGGCTTGATTGTGTGAGCTCGTGAGTTGCTGTGTGTCCTTGCATTCAGGTGTGTGTGTGTGTGTGTGTGTGTGTGTGTGTGTGTGTGTGTGTACATATGCAGTGCAAAGGCGTGTTTCCCTTTCTTGGAAGGACACAGACATCCACTGACTGAACATGCAAGGCAGCTTCTGCTAATTAAAAACAGCTTTTTCATGTTTAAAGTTTACAATACGAAAAATAATTTTCCTTTCTTTAGGGAGGTGGAGTGGGCGCCAAGGAAGGGGCAGGGCCCCCAAGAACATTCCATAAACTGGCTCAGATGGATCTGCACAACCCCCTGGTTAGATACAGCAGTGCCTACCCCCACCCCCCACCCCGGCAGGCGTCCCTGCCAGTTCATTGGGGACAAGATGTTGTGAGGTGTTATGTGATCTGGGGAACTGGTGGCTGGCAGACACTTCACCCTGCCCTCTGCAGGGCTGTGCTTCTCCATGGAGGTACTCTCCCTGGGGGAAGCTCAGGTTGTGGGGAGCTGGAATGTCTTGGTGGGTTCCGTTGGGATGCCCTTGCCGGCCTTGGCTCCTCCCCTCCACACATCAGCTTTTATTTTAGTAGCCACTGCCTGAGCCTTGCTGAGGACAATGGTCCGGGCGGTAGAGCAGAGACCTTGGGGTGAGGTGGAGACAGGCCCCGCTGACGCCCCGTCACGGCCTCTGAGGCTTGTCTCCAGTGGGTGTGCAGCTCAGCAGTGAGAGAAGCTTCTGGGGGCTGCAGCTACCTGGAGGTCCCTCGCTACCCCCCCCCATCCTCTTCCAGACTGCTCAGCTCTGGCATCCCGCAGCCCCAAAGCCAGCGGCCAGGCAGGCTGCAGGTACTCAGCACAGTGGGCTCCATCCTTCCACCAGAGTCTTTATTAAAGAAAAGGACTGATCAGCAGAGGCCCACAGCAAAGGAGCGGGTGGTTACTCATGCGGTGAGGGGGTCACACAAAGGCGACATCCCTCTGTCTGTGAGCAGCACGAGACACTTTAATCGCCAGAGAACAAGTCTTACTGGAAGGCAGTGAGGCTGGCTTCCTTCAGCAATGAAAGTGAAACAAAACACGAAGGTGAGACGTCAGCGTTTAAACAACAAAACAAAACACGGATGACGGCCCAGCGGCCACCCGGAGCTCATGGCCACAGCGTCCCCTCCCACGGCAGGGTCTAGGACCCCTGGGTGGGTCAGACATGGAGTGTGGCCATTTGCAGGCAACATGGGAGAGGCCATTCATTCTCCCCCACAGCCTCAGGCTACATTGGGGTCAGACAAGGCCACCCCACCTGACAGAGTGGGCTTTTGTGTTTCCTGTTTTGGTTTTTGTGGGTTTTGTTCTGGGACAGGTTCCCTCCCTCTCTCTCTCTCTCTCTCTCTCTCTCTCTCTCTCTCTCTCTCTGTGTGTGTGTGTGTGTGTGTGTGTGTGTGTGTGTCTGGCCCTGGCTGGCCTAGAATCTGCAATAATTCTCCCATCTCAGCCTCCCGAGCACTGGAGCAGGCCACTACCCTCACTTGGCTGTCTTCTTAGAAAGGTGGGTGGGGCACAAAGGATGCTGGCTTCCCGATTGGCCGGAAGCCTCGCGGGGATGCTCCTGGAGTGCGCATGTCAAGCAAGGCCAGGGAGCTTGGGGGTGAAGACATGTCTCTGCATCTGCCCACCTGTCAGGGTGCCTCTGGGACGCCCTCTGGCTCTTGCCTCCTGAATGGTTGCCCAGGTACCAGGAGAGCTGATTTACACTCTTGATTGGGTGCCATGGTGCCATGGTGCCCCATGGATCAGAGAGCAATTTCAAGAAGTCAGTTTCTCTTTCTGCCTGGTGGGTCCCGAGACAGAACTCTGTTGTCAGGCTTGGGGCAGTACCTTTACCCACGAGGCAGCTGGAATTTTAACCACCCGGAACACAGGGAGGGCGGTTTTCACTGGGACTTGGATATTTTGCGTCCACAAGCTCATTTCTGAGTGTCTGGTCAGGATGGAGGGAAACCGAGGCTGAGCCACCCCGGACAGCAGAGACGCACATTGGGCAGTGGCTGCCGTGGTACCCAAACCTCTGGACCAGATATCTCTGCTGGCTCAGGGGTGAGACGTGGGGAGCCCGGGGCTGGGGGTGTCTCACACTCGCGGCCGGGATCCGAGCTACCTCCCGTGGCCAGCGCGGGGCAGCAGGACGGCGGCGCAGGCGATGCCGGCGAAGGACTCCGGGAAGTGCAGGTCTCTCTCCCACTCATCCGTCTCGGTGTTGTACACTTGCACAATGCCCGTGACGTTGTTCAGCCTCCAGTTGTAACCACCAACGATGTAGATCTTCCTCTCCAGCAGGCAGCAGCCGGCCTCCGACTGGCCAGCGCGCATAGGGGCCACGCTGGTCCACTGATCGGCATCGGGCACATAGTACTCCACTGCTAGGACATCGAAGCAGCGGTCCACATGGTCCATGCGGCCGCCCAGGGCGTAGATGCGCCCAGCGGCGCCCAGCATAGCGTGCAGCACGCGAGGCTCGCGCATGGGCGCCCTGGGCTCCCACCGATCGGCTGCAGGATCATAGCACTGCAGCGCCTTCTTGTCCTCGGCGGAGACACCATAGCCGCCTGAGATGTAGAGGCGACCAGCGGCCGCGGCGCCCGCGTGGCCCCAGGTGCGGCGCTTGAGCGGGCAGGCGAAGTCCCAGCTGTCCCGGCGCGGGCAGTAGCGCTCCACGGAAGCCAGGCTGCCTGCGCGATTGCGGCCCCCGGTGGCGTACAGCAGCCCGCCGAGTGCTGTGAGCTGGAACTGCACGCGGCTCTCATGCAGCGCCCTAAGCCGCAGCCAGCGGTTGCGCTGCGGGTCGTACCGGTAGCAGGCGTCCACAGCGCCCTCGCCGCTGCGGTGCTGAAGATGCTGGCCACCTGCCACGTACACGAAGTTATCCAGCACAGCCACGCCCGCGTGGCTGCAGCCCAGCTCCATCTCCGTGAGCTCTCGGAAGTGGCGGGCCCCAGGCTCAGGCAGCTGGAACACCTTGCTGCTGACCGCTCGGTCACTGTCGGTATAGGGTGTGCCTCCGAAGGCCACCAGGGATGCCACGTCCGAGCGCACAGCTGTGCGTGGCGACTGCATGTCATGCTGGCGACAGGGCAGCACGTGGTAGCTGAAGGCCTCCAGCAGATATTGGCGGCACAGGGCGTCGTCCAGCATGACATCTAGTGTCTGCACACTGTCCACCAGCTCGGCAGGCTGCATGAGCGGGAAGCGCACGTGGCGCAGCACGAGGCTGGCACGGGCACGACGGGCGGGGTCATGCTGCAGCCAGCGCACGGCAGCGCGGAAGAGGTCAATCTCAGCACAGCTCTGCAGACGGTTGCTCTGCAGGAAGAAGACAAGGCGCTCCAGTGGCAGGCGCAGGAAGTCCTCCTCGGCCGCAATCTGCAGGAAGTGGCGGAATGTGAAGGCGTCCACCGACTCCCGCAGGGACGCCAGGCTGAAGGTGGTAGCCATCTGGCCAATGTGCAGGCACGTCTCCACGCTCATGGCGGCTTTCAGAAAGTCCTCACACAGCTCCACCACTGGCAGCATCTGCAGGAACACAGCGGCACCCAGCACGTCCTGCACGCAGTCCAGGTCCAGCGTCACCTCAGCGCTGTAGGCAAAGTCAATGATGTGGCGCAGGCCTCGCGCAGACACACCCTGCAGCTGGATGACTGTCTGGCTGGCTTCGCGCATGCCGCCGGTGAACATGGCCCTGGAGGTGGCAACACACCGTGAGCAGGTCTGTCAGTGTGCCCAGGCTGTGCTCTGTCCTCACCCCGGCCTCTCTGACCCTGTGCAGCTGCGGGGGCAGCCATTACTGCTGCAGACCCCAAGGCTGACCCGTGGGTCTCCTGAAGAGACACAGCTGCAGATGTGCAGGCCCTGCTGCCTTGAGCTCCAGAGACAGGACCAGCCTGTGCTCCCCACCACCAGCAAATCCAGCACCCACTCCCCAGGCTGCGGCCTGTGAAGAAGGGATCACAGGCCTGCCCTGTCCCCGAGCCTGTTACAAAGGCCCCAAGAGGTGCCTGCCCAGCAGTAAGTGCCCATTACTGCCGTCTTCAGGGACAAGTGCCAGAGACCTCACTCGGGCCCACACATGGCCCAGAATCAGCTCAGTCCTCAGCCTGTGTGAGAGCCCTGCTAGGAGTCTCTGGAGCCACGTGGCAGCTGGTGAGGGACGCAGACCCACACACGGGCTCTGGGGAGGCTTGGGGTTAAGTCTCAGCTTCCAGCTTGTGCTCGAAGGGTCTGTGGGACCCCTGGGTGACAGTCCTGTCATCCCAGAGCAGCCCTCACAACTGTGGGCAGGCTTTCCTGACACTGCCAGAGAGGGAGGGACCCCCTAGGGACCCCCCATCATCAAAGACGATGCCCACGGACAGTGGTACATGCTTCCTGCAGCCTGGGCTCAGGTCACACCAGGAGGGACGCCATGGGGAACAGCTCCCAGACCTGGCCCCTGCCTGTCCCTCAGGAGCCCCCACCAGCCCTTGGCCACTTCAGTGAGAAGAGGCCAGACCAGTTGACAGGATGGAGTTTTGCCTTTTAAGGCCTCATGGGCTACATTGCCAGAGCGGGGGTGCCTTTAAAAGGCAGTGCTGGCTGGGCCGCCCACCCGCCCCAAATCCAGAGTAAAAATAGCACCGATGCCCCGGTTGGCTTGGCTGCAGCAGCTCCCCAGAACGGCCTCACTGAGCCCCAGGGAGGGCAGCTGGGCCTAGAGGGACATGTGGCCCAGTACACACACCTGGGTGGCGGTGGACCTGGAAGACCTGGTCCTCTTAGGATGGGGGTCACAGCTCGGGAGAAGGAGACAGCACAGGTCTGTAAGGGCAACCATTGCTGCCCCCACCCCTGCTGGAGGGCACCCTAACCAGCCAGCTCCACTGGCCCTGTTCTGACGCCCATGTGTCAACGCGGCCGAAGCGTGGGAAACAGGAGGAGGGCTTGGGCTCAAAGAACCCCCAAACCCGCGGGCTCCACATTCCCTCAGCTGTGTGCTTTAGTGACGTGGAGGGGCCATCACGGCGGCAAGGGGTCGTCGTTACTTTGTCCTTCGTGGGCACACATGGCCTGTGCGCACAGTGCCTGCCTGGGCACATGAGGAGGTAGAAGCAGAGGATCAGGAGTTCACAGACATCCTGGGCTACATTGTGGGTGTGAGGCTAGCCTGGGCTACATGAGATCGTCTCAAGAGAGAAAAAGGGGTGAGGGGCAGGCAAGCCTGCAGGATGGCTCAGTGGTTAAGGCACTTGCTGGTAAACCTGACAACTGCGTTTGGTCCCCAGGACCCACACAGTGACAGGAAAGACCTGGTGCCTACACACTGTCCTCCGCCCTCCACGCTCACCAGGGCTCATGTGTGGCTCACTCACCATTGCACACACATACGCACAGACATGAAAATGAATAAAAATGTAAAAACAGAGGAAGTGCTTACCCAGTACACATGAGGACTGAAAAATAAAAGAAACTTAGAAAGAAATCATAGGCCAGGTGTGCTGGCATGCCTGCCGCCTCAGCGCCAGAGGATGGGGGCAATGTGCAGCGGAGGCTGATCCACACTACATAGTAAAACACTGTCTCTAACACAGGGAGGGGGCAGAAGTGTGAACTCGAGTCCCCAGGGCCGACTTACCTAAAGTAGTCACTGCAGGCCGCCAGGACCACCTTGTGCGCATGGAAGGCTTCGCTGTTGACAGTGAGGACCACGTCCAGCAGCTGGCCCTGAGCACGGAGGGCAGCCAGGCCCTGCAGGAGGCCAGTGCTGTGGCCGGCCGCAGAGAAGGTGCACTTAAGGGTCCCATTCCGGTCGGCCAGGCTGCAGGGACAGCAGAGGAGACATGACTCAGAAACCTCCAAGTGGGGTCACACGCACAGTGACATGGAGGACACTTGGAACTGTAATCCTGAGTGACAGCAGCGGTCACAACAGACAACTTCACACAGAGGAGGATGCAGGGTAGCCAGCACAGGAGGTAGAAGGGGAAGAGAGTCTCCTTGTGGAGGGATGGAGAAGCCTGTGCCATACAGGAAATACTACAAGACTGTCTACCTGAAAAAGGACTGCCTGGGGCGTGGCTCATAGGTGGAGCCCCTGCCTAGAACCCCCAGTGAGGGGCTGGGGGCGTGGCTCATAGGTGGAGCCCCTGCCTAGGATCCCCAGTGAGGGGCTGGGGGCGTGGCTCATAGGTGGAGCCCCTGCCTAGAACCCCCAGTGAGGGGCTGGGGGCGTGGCTCAGGGGTGGAGCCCCGCCTAGAATCCCCCAGTGAGGGGCTGGGGCGTGGCTCAGGGGTGGAGCCCCTGCCTAGAATCCTCAGTGAGGGGCTGGGGGCGTGGTCAGGGTGGAGCCCCGCCTAGAATCCCCCAGTGAGGATCTGAGGGCGTGGTCAGGGTGGAGCCCCGCCTAGAATCCCCAGTGAGGGGCTGGGGGCGTGGTCAGGGTGGAGCCCCGCCTAGAATCCCCAGTGAGGGGCTGGGGGC